GAGCCTGCACATTTTGACTTTATCTTAACAGCTGCTTTACAAATGTTTTCCTACAATGTCATTACTTTAGGAAGACCACATAAATTCAGCAAGTAGCACTATACTGGAATATATATAAAAGGAAGAAAATAGTTGTGTTAAGTTATTGCTTGTTCCTTAATCTTATACAGCCATAGCTAATAAACTAGCAGGCATTTTCTCTCTGGCCAGACTTGAATCCCTTACTTGTAAGAATAGCTGATAATGATGCAGGCTATGATCAGAGATTGAAATTACAGTTTTATGTGTGTTTATTGAGTAAGATGTACTGAATTCCCAGACTGCAGAGGTCTTGCTATTCTTTCTGGAGGATAATAGTTACATTTTTCTAGATTAGTGGTTCTCAATCTTCCTAATGCTGCAACTGCTTAATACGGTTCCTCATGTTGTGGTGACCCCCAACCATAGAATTATTGGGTTGCTGTAAGTTTTTCAGGCTGTATGGCCATGTTCCAGACGCATTCTCTCCTAACGTTTTGCCTGCATCTATTGCAGGCATCCTCAGAGGTTGTGAGGTCTTACAATTATTTTCATTGCTACTTCATAACTGTAATTTTGCTACTGTTATGAATTGTAATGTAAATATGTAATATGCAGGATGTATTTTCATTCACTGGATCAAATTTAGCACAAATACCTGATATGCTCACATTTGAATACTGGTGGGGTTGTGTGGGGATTCATTTTGTCATTTGGGAGTTGTAGTTGCTGGGATTTACAGTAACCCTACAATCAAAGAGCATTCTGAACTCCACCAATGATGGAATTGAACAAAATTTGTCACACAGAACTCCCATGACGAACAGAAAATACCGGAAGGATTTGATGGTCACTGACCTTGAGTTTTGGAGTTGTAGTTCACCTACCTCCAGAGAGCACTGTGGACTCAAACAATGCTGGATCTAGACCAAACTTGGCATGAATACTCAATATGCCCAAATGTAAACACTAGTGGAGTTTGGGGAAAACAGACCTTGACATTTGGGAGTTGTAGTTTCTGGAATTTATAGTTAACCTACAATCAAAGAGCACTCTGAACCCAGCCTACAATGGATCTCCACCAAACTTGGCACACTACCTACATGGCCAACGTTGAATACTGGTGGAGTTGGGGGGGGGGGGTTGAGTTCTGGGAGTTGTAGTTCACCAACACCAAAAAGGAAGAGAAGAACAGGCAGAGAGATCTTCAGCCTTCTCTGGCAAAAGGGTTCCTAAGACTATCAGAAATATGTGTTTTCTGATGGTCTTTGCCGACTCCTCTGAAATCCCCATCACGACCCCCCCCAGGGGCCCCAACCACTAGGTTAAGAAACACTGTTCTAGATCTTTTGTGATAAACCCAATGTACATTTAAATATCATGCTGGCTTCTTCTGTTTTTCATGATTGTCCACTTAATAACTGCCTGTTTCACTGCTTTCACATAAAAGAATACATTTATACCTTTCTATACATAGGCAACCTGATTTGTGAGCCAGTGTAGTGGTTTGGGTGTTGGACCACAATTCTAGGAGACTAAGGTTGGATTGGGTGTCCAAGAAACCACTGCATCATAGACACTCATGGGGTGACCTTGGGCAAGGGATATTTTCTCAGTCTCAGAGGAAGGCAGTGGTAATGACAATGTTTCCTCTGAACAAACCTTGCAAAGAAAATCCTGTGATATGTTCATTGTAGGATTACCACCAAACAACCAAGTTTTTGGCTGCTGGTATATTTACTGGAAGATACTGTCTCATCATGGATTCTACTGTAAGTGCAACTGCGCACTGAAATACTTCTCATTCATCACCACTGGGAATTGCAGTTATCATCAACATCTGGAGAACTCCTTGATGAATGGAGAGCCACTCTTTTTTCCTAGGCTGCCATTTTGATCTCTATGTTGCAGTTAAATGAGGAATTATACTGGTCCATTCGGCATATCGGCTGAGCTCAATAAGCATACTGATAGAGCAGGATTCTCCAGCTGTAAACTTAAAATCATAGGAAGCAGGAGTCTACTCTCTTTCCTCCATCTTCTCCATGGATGCCCAAAAGCATTTGGGTGGAGCCCCACTTCCATTGTGTGGTATGGGTGTGCACCCAGGCATGTTACTGGGGAAAGAAGGAGCAACTTCCGTACCTAGTGAAGGTAAGGAGAGTCAGAATGTGTCCATATGCAATCTCTGACTGGAAAATGAGAAGATGGAGCTGTACCCACAAGTTGTTGCATGCCTGGGCAAACAGAATTGTATGTGAAGGTGCATGATACCTCTTTGTGCAACATTCAAGAAACATATTTTGGTACCTGTGTGTGCATATCATCAAAAGAATTTCTGTAACATCTATTTGTTTAGTGGAAGTGTACCTTGTTGGCAATCAGTTACACTTGGTTGAGTATCCCCCTGATTTGAAATGATTGGTACCAGATTTCAGATTTGTTTAGATTTTGCAATACTTGTATTTCTATATCAGCACATAGTGAGATATTTTGGAAATGAGACCTTGGTGTAAACACTCAAATGATTTGTATTTCGTATGCATCTTAAACATAGCAGAAAAGTAGTTTTGTTAACTATATTTAATCATCTTGTTCATGAAGTAAAGTTTGCATCCACTGAACCATCAGAAAGTAAAGGTGTCAGTATTTAAGTCACCCATGGAGACAATTTTGGTGTATTTCAGAATTCCAGGTAATTACTCTTGAAAAGTAACCTTGAGCATGCTTCCTTAAGGGAGTTATACTCCAATGGAAATGCTAGTAATTTCTTCAGAGGAAACACTCCTTTGGCTTTAGGATGAAGATAGAGGTTATGATTCTGCTATCTACTCCTCTCAGAGTAGTGCCAGTGAAACTCTGGGTGTTACTCCATGTGTAATATCCATTCCAACTGAACATGGGAAAATGGTAAGCATTTTTTTTTTAAAAAATGAATTTGAATACATTTGAATGCTTGTGCTTGCATTTTGTTTTGCATTTGTTGTTATTTTTAGAACATGATCAATGGGTGAAGATGGTGTGTGGTATGATGTCTCACATTATTTTAAAATACGTTAAGGAGTAGTTCCATTTATACCATCTTACAATTACAAACAGACCTTTGAAGGCAACCATAAGGCTGATGTGACCCTTGGTGAAAATGAGTTTGACATCCCTGGTAGCAGATACATAAAGAGCAACGCCTACACACAGAGATAGTTTATGACATACTTTTTATTGACATTAATATTTGCCTCTAGTTTGAACCTTGTTTGGCTACTGAATAAATGGTGACAGAACAGCCTCTCCAGAAAAGATGCTGATAATACAACACTCCCCCAGAAAATTCTGTCAAAGTTGATTCCCATAATCACAAATTGTCTGCTCTTTTTGTGGAATTAATCAGAGTGGGAAATTAAATTTACCATAACAGAATTAAAATAAAAACCAAATTGTTAATGCTGGTACATTACTAAAGTACTGAACATAAAAGACAATAAACTATGAATCTAATCTTGAATTCCTACATGGATTCTAGACAAGAAAATTAGAACTCGGCTATAGTCATCTGAATAATCACATTGGATCTGCATTATTTATTATTACATGCGCAAGTGATTCAAGTTTGTACATTGCCTGATTTTATTTGAAAGCAAACATACTGTACCTTTGGGGCATTTTACATGGGGATAACTTAAAGAGATTGGATAAATACAGTGTCTCTATTTTGCATCAGAAACAGAAGCCAAATGGCTACCAATGTGATCAGCACATGGGTTTCAAAACCTTGCTCTTGTGATAAAACAACTATTCTTGTAAATGTCCCCAAACACTGAGAGATGCCTTGTCTGGCTGATCTCACAGTGTGGGACAAGCCAATGAAAAGAAAGGGAATGATGAGAACCAGCTCACCCCAAACATAATCTGATACTTGCTTGGGATGAAGAGAGGGAGGGCTCAAAGGGGGAAGAAGGGCTCCAAAAAAGAGAGGAGTGCAACAAAAATTGGGAACAGGCAGGTTAACTCTTTCCTGTGCTGTCTGACTGATAAGAAAAGCAAAACTGTCTACCTTCCAGTGCTTGGAAATGTTACTTTTTTCAACTGCAACCTTCTGAATCTGCCTGCCTGCACCAGCATGGCCAGTCAGTGCATGTGGTGGCTGTGGGATTTGGAGGAGTTCCCATGTAAAACAATGATTTTAAAGATTTTCTAGGGAGGATATGGATGCCCATTTCCTTTTGGAGAATTATGGAGCTAGCAGCATCCAGGATGGACTCATCTTAAAATTATTTGCTCCTAGCTATCCATGACCTAAGCGCTTAAAAATTACTCGGTTTTTGTCCTTTCTTAGTCATTATTCTACTCCTTGACCATCCAGCGGTTACCAAGGAAGTGGCCTTGTTTCCACTACTTCCTAATACAGCCTTTTCTTATTATCATAGCTGAAGCATTTTTGGTAACTTGATATTTTGGTTGTCTTTTTCTGTAGTAATCCTAATTCACTTTGAGGGGGAGGATGATATCTGAATGTCTAAGACATCTACTTATGACTCTGGCTATGTTCCAGTACCTCCTGTAGACCGAATGGGGCATGCATCCTCTCTGTTGTCACCTGAAAGCAAGGTAATTTACCTGTACATATGCAGAATGGTTTTCCCATAGAAGATATTGGGGAAGTCCCTGTGCACATTCCTATTTTTGAATCAAAGCCTTTAAGAAAAAATGCTTTTATGTGACCAGAGAAACATGGGGAGGTTTCTTAAAGATTCTGCTCCCACTGCCTAATTTTCTTTCTTTCTTCTTTTTTCTTTTTTGGTCTCATAACAGTATATGAAGTGCAGAATAAATGCTGATTATCTCCATTTTCTGAGAGGAAAGGGGAAAAAAGCTAATTTGGCTTTATTCATTTTACTGTCAAAACTAAAAGTGTCCACACCAGCAGCAAATACATTGATGCCAACAAAAGTAGTTTAAAAAATCCTCTTTAAGATGCTAACAAATTTACTTACAAACACCTATATTTATTATTTCATAAATAGGCGCAACAGCTTCCATAAAAAAAGATTAAATACAGACACAGTATGAAGAAACAATAATACATAGCCATATGTAAAGGTTATAATTTAGCTGTTTCCAATCTGTTTCTGCATCTAATAAAATACCAAGAAAGCATTTTGGCAGTTTTATACATAAGAGGACATAAATGACGTTTACTAACTGTTACACATAAAGTGATAAAAAAGCAGTTTTAGGCAGTACAAAATAAATGTGTTTGCTCTTTTCCCAACACTAGACTTTTCTTTTTGTATAACTAAGGACACAGTGCCAATTTCTGTTTAATTAAATTCATTTGGGAATAACTTTTTTCCTTTTTTTCTTTCAAAGAGTTTGAAAATATAGAACTATTAGTCAGTTGCTTAAAAATGAAGTAAAAATATGAATGTTTGCCAATTTAACCCCCTTTGTGAAATCAATAAACTGGAATGAGCCAGTTTCAAATTACAATTAGCTACAAAAACATTCACATTTTATACTCTAGGAGAGTGTAACATAGATGCTATTTACAAACTTGCTATGACTGCTACATCAAGCCATTTAAAAAGTCTTTAGTAGTTTCATATAAACACACCCATTATGAAAACCAATGGAAAATCCAGGACTTTTTATCCAAGACATCTACAGTTGCTAAGGCAGTTACTAGCGCAGCACTTCACAGCAAAAATAAAAACCAACAGAATATCAGAATGGTCCAAGCCTCCTTCCTTAAAGAAGAAAAGCAATGTCCATTAAAGGATGTTGAAGGAGAAAGGGGAGAGGAAGGAAGGAAGGAAGGAAGGAAGGAAGGAGGGGGGAAAGAGGGAATGGGGAAAGAGGGAAGGGGTGGAGGAAGGAGCAAGACTATTTCTTTTCCCAGAGTGAATGACCCACCAGCTCAAATAGTCCTAAGTGCTTAGCAACTTATATTTTCTAAATAAATGCAGAACTGCCTTGACTGCATGATGCAATCTGTGATGGAAAGACTTCCCTGCATTCCTCACTGGAAAGAAGAGGTGCTTCGTCATAACATTTTCAGGTAAGGTACAATGCTTTGTCCCTCTGCATGGCCCTGTTGTAAAAGAGAAAGGGGAAACAAGAGAAGGCAGCTTAGTGATAACATTCAACATCAAAAGTTACATAGTCCCTTGAAAATCAATGTTTTGGTATCCCAAGAATATCTCATTTAATATATGCCCTGTTCAAATTCCCACTGAACTTTGCTGGAATTTTGTATCTGTCCACCTATACATGCCCATGAGAAGTGTATTGTTATGTATGTATATATGTATGTTGTTTGCTTTCAAGTTATTTCTAATCCATGGCAACCCTAACAGGAATCTATTATGGAATCTTCTTAGCAAGGAGGCTTGCCTTTGCTTTCATCTACAGTTGAAACCAAGGTCTGAATGGCTGGGTAGGCATTCAAACCCTAATCTCTAGTTCTAGCCCAATGCTTAAACCACTCTATCATGCTGGGCCATTATACTGTGCCAAAGAGGAATCTTTGAAGGGAAAGTTGAGATCTCATAGTTTTAGGATCTGGTATGATGGAATGTTAATAATTTGAAGCAGCTGAAATCATTTGGTCCCATTTTTTGGACAGAGACAAGAGAAATATATATTTTACTGCCACTCAGGTTGCAATGGTTTATTGTTAAGAATGTGTCATTTTCTCCATCTGGCAATGGTACATAAAACATACCTGAATGACACTCAAACAAACTAAACTGTGTGCATATCACAAGACAGGAACTTAAAGTTGGCTCAATATGTGGGAGGCTACAACTCCTCCCTCTAGCTGTATACCAACTAGGGAAGGTGGGTGGGGCTATAGCCACAAGAGTCAGAAGCTTTCCAAAAGATTCCAAGACTTACTGCATAGGCATAGGAAATTGCCAGATGTGTGATTTTACAGAGACCACAAAGAAAAATAAAATGTAGCTCTTTTATTAAAAGCAAGCAAGCGGCAACTTGTTTGTTAATTATTTCCCTAGAATAAGGAAAGGTATTCAAATCTAGTAATGTTATCTAGATGGTGAAACATAAGACATAACTCTTCTTGTTGCCCAGTGTTTGTTATAAATATTAGTCAACACAAGATGGCATCCACTGGCTGCTTACCCATTACTGCAGTAATCATTATTCCAGTCCACACTCTGTGTTGGGGGATTTCTGCACCCTGAACGAACATACTCCATTGCTTGGGTAACAACTTGTGCAGCTGTAGATGTTGGGTTGATAATATTCTGGTAGTCTGGCTGGAGAGTAAAACCCTACAATAAAACAAAAGTTAAAAAAAATGCTTTGGTCATCCAACCTAACCTCTTATATGCATTGATCAAGTACCAAGTTTTATTTCTGCATTCTCAGATATGAAGCAAAAGGAAAATAGGATTCTTAATATCTTTTCAAACAGTCATTTTTGTAATTGGTTGAGAAGGAATGCTAGGTAACACACTGCAATAGTGTAGAACTCAGAGAGAAACAACAGAGACATTTTAAAACCACGAAAAACAACTCATTCAACACAGGAAAATAAAAGAAAGGTTTGTGTGCTTCTCATATTTCGATTCAACCAAAGGATGCACTATTAGTTAATTCCAAGAATATGCAACAGAATCTTTTTGAAGGATGCTGGCAGCAGGTGGCTGAGTGTTTTATTAGACTACACCTATTCACGATTATTGTTCTCAAGCCCCTTTTATATGGTTCAGTCACAAAAGGACCATCTGCTGCTTCTTTTATTTGCACTTCTTTCTCAACTACACAAAAAATCAACTCAAGCTTTTTAACAGTTGTTGGACTAATGTAGCAAAAAGCAGCCAAAAAAAGCAAAGGAAAAAAAGCTCAACTTGCTGTTGTTTTCACTGAGGAGGTAGCATGCCTAAATGTTGTTTTCCAAAATCAGCAGACCTGATCAGATTTTCAAGAATAGTATGCATTGATTTTTCCATGAAGCAGTTAGCTTAAATAAACAAAGAGTGTTGCTGAAAGGCGAGGAGAGCTTTATAGTGCATCATAATAAACCACCAACTAACGCCTTCTCCAAGAGAACACACTAGATTGCTCTAAAGAGATAAATTTCCCAAGGACATTGGAAGAATGTACACTATCTAAAGAAAAGGTAACATCTGGCTGAACGAAGCCTATTTTCTTGTAACTTGTAACCTACAATTCACATCTGGCAAATACAGTAAATATTTAAATTGAGAGTTTTCTAAATAACAGGCACAAGGAATAAATAGCATTAGCTATAATTTTTACTACTGTCACTCAAGAGATCCAATGAGTGGAAAATAAATACTGCCTTTGGTACCTGTATATCTGCAAACATTTATTGAGAAACCAACCTACAATATGATTGTTCTAGGTCCCATGTGTCACACTCAAGGCCCCTAGTATTAGGTCTATTTTTAACAGCAATTCCCAAGTAAAAACTACATGTAGCTGGATGGGTACCAGTTAATTGAGGGTCTACTGTAGTAGTCTTTATATTTTCTCCAATGAGCCCATTCAACTGAGCACGATATATTCAGTGAGTTTGTCCAAAGTAATAATGAAGTCAAGGAGACTTAACAACATGATTCTTTACTCTGAAATGAGCCAAGAGTTCAACTGGGCTTACACCCAGAAAAAAAAAACGTGCTGAAGATTGCAGCCTAAATCAATATACAAACATACCTTGCTTGAAGGCGCTTCACTAAAACAGCGTTTTTCAATTATAAAGCACTGCTGGCCAGAATCCTCTATGGCAGTTACAAATGTGTAAGCGGGGTTATGCACTTGTGACTATTAAGTATTCATTATATCTATGTAGCCCCTAATCTGTGAGCTCTATAAGTAATTGTGAAAGTTCTTTAATCTCTATTTACCAGGAAGCAGCAGCTGTGATCGACAGGAGTCTATTTGTTTGTCAATCAGGAAGCAGCTGGTTGAGAGTCCTGCCCCATTGCACAGGCAATCTCCAGCATAAAAATATGTTTTTAAGTTTGTATGTGCACTAGCAAGTAGAAAAAAGACCGTGATTTGCTTTATGATGATATTTGCTTTATAGCTGTGACCTGGAACTTAACTTTCCATATTAAAGAGGTACTATAGGAAAAACCAGTACTATAGAAAAAACCTGGCCTATAAGCCTCTTTGCATCTTGAACTATATCTCTTGGTCAGGTGGCAACTGTCACACTACATAAATTGTGATTTCCCTGTTCATGAGCATGTGTTGGAGCAGACAATGGTAGCAAGGCAAGTATTTTGTATAGGATACGTTGTTCCAGTTGTCAAGTTTGTATTTTCATATTTACATTTGAATTGCATTCAAACTGTCTGATTTGATTCTTATATTGCATCTGTCAGTAACGATTAGTGCCTATTTTGGAATTTCTACTAATTGTTTTTTTTTTCTGTTTGTTTCTTGTTCTGTGTACAAACCTAGTCGGTTATTGATACAGACGGAAAGCAATAAAATATCATCATTTTTATCAAGGTTCTCTTATTAGTAAAGAATCCATCTTTCCAGCAGAACAACAAGGCAATAAAATAGCTGCAACAGCTCTCCAGTGTTCTGCCATTTATCAAATCTGATTCAGAAATCAGGTTATTGTAATAATGCTTGCTGAACATGTACATGCCAAAGCCAACCAAAGAATTTCAGAAATGCAAAAGACAACAAAGAGTGCTTAAATTCCAATTTTAGTAGCCATCTCAAGCAGTTCATGAAATGCTCTGGCTGCCACATATCACTCTGATGCAGAAATATGTGATGCAGAAGTATTTTACACAAAGGACTTTACAAACAGTGATGCAATTAAAAGAAAAAAGAAAACAGAAAGAAAGAAAATGGGTGCTCTCTGGGCTAATGAGACTGTGCCCAATGTTTTGCATTGTAATGCCCAAGATAAAATCAGTAACTGTTTTGCAACATGGCTTGAATTTTAAGTTTCATTTTCTTGTGTCAGATTGAAATAAAAACAGGGGACTTGATAAAGATTAATTTGATGTCAGGCGGGACATTTGCTCTTTAATTAGATTTCTGTATCCCTAGCTGGGGGTTTTGTGTGCAACTGGAGGCAAGTACTAAAAAGCCTGCAGCAGAACCTAAACTGTGATCCTCATCTCTACACTTTACCAGGAACTAATTTCATTTCCTGCCTGTCTGGAGAGGAATTTTCAACAGGCATCAATGTTTTTGTCTTCACAACTGATTTATTCATCAATCTCAATGTGATGTTTTTTAAACCTTTAAATTACATCCAAATCCTAAAGCATCTGTTTATTACACACGGAAATTGAAAATCTGTCTGTGTGATATCATACAAAGATTTTCCCTTAAGGTTATAAGGACAGTTGACAGATATTAATGATTTTTCTCTCCTGCTCTTAACCACTTTCTGAAACATGGAGTGGGGGTGAGGATGGTGTATATATGTGTGAGAAGGAAAGAGTGTGAGTGTTGGGGAAATACAGGATGCCCAAATTGTTGAATGAAGTTGATGTTTCTTAGAGTGCGGCTGGTAACAAGTAATAGTAAAGTTGCATTATAACCAGATAGAGAGAAAGACTAAAAGGACTGAGGGCGAGAAATAAAAAGAATAGAGTGAAAAAAGTAAAATATTGCCCAGAGATGAAACTTCAGACGAGACAAGAATAATCATTTCTCCAGAGTTTGCAGTAAGCTCCACAAAGTGCTTTTTGCACTTCCTTTTAGAACAGTGATTCCCAACTCTGGTACTTCAGGTTTTTGGACTTCAACTCCCAGCAGCCTCACTCACTTTGGCCAATGGTCAGAGAATCTGGGATTTGAAGTACAAAACACTTCGGAGGACCAGCATTTTGAGAATCACTGTTCTAGAGCACATCTTCTGAAATTTTCTGAAATTGTGAGTCCCTAACTGAAATCGGGGATTGTGAAAATTTGTGGAGTCTGATGCCTAGTGGTTGTTTTCAAAATTTACACAAATCTGTTAGCAAATACATGCAGCAAATGCTTCAGCTTTCCCATGATGCAAACTAAGCATGCCAGATTTGCATGAAAAATGTCGAATATGCTTTACATCCTGCAGTATCAAATATTCAGCCAAAATTTAATTCTTTCTGTAAAAATAAACAAGCTCATCTATCCCAATAGAATGCAAATTTGGTTAATTACAAGATTATGTATATTCCAAAGGATTGTTTTAAAATAATTTTCTTTATGATTTATTATCAGTAATTGTTTGATTTGTATACCTATTTTACCTATACACCTTTCCTTGGGTAAAAGGGGTCCCGCGCAGAAATAAATTAAGAAGCTCTGTTTTAGAGCAGGGTTTCTTAAACATTTTTTTCTGCTGGTTGCCCCCTTTCCCCCAAAAAATGTTTAGATTACCTATATCTATAAAATAAAATTCAAATTATGCCTGCCTGTATATTTCAACTTGGTACTCAAATCCATCTTGGCCCAACTTGAAATACTGGAAAGGTTTCAGTGGGATTGGCAGAGGATGATGGGAGTTGCAGTACACCCACATCCAGAAAGCCCTGGAGAATCCCACCAAAGATGGATCTGGATCATTGCCACTGGTGATGATATGGAGTGATGGGAATTGCACCCCATTAAAAAAATCCAAAACAATGATTACTTCTAATATTTAACATTACAAAAAAAACCCAACTAACCCAGGTACCTAAGTTAGAAGGTATATAAAATAGGTATAAAAATCAAACTTTTACAGATAATAAATCAGCATTTGCAAGGCTTGCTAAACAGGCTGTCCTTTTTGAAGATGAAGTTGACTAAAGGTGCATGGCCAGATGGACAAGGAGACCCTAGGCATGGAGAAGTTGACCAGAAAAGACCCTAGACAAGGAGGCTCCAAAAGTACACAGGCAAGGAGGCCCTAGGCAAGGCAGCACTATGGTGGAAATTGACCAAAAAGGCCCAAAGGCAAAGAGGCCATTAGGAGACTGTCAGAATGTTGTTACTGTTGTCCAATTTTGGGGACAAAACATTGAGTGAAGGGGACCCCATTTGGGGTCAGGACCACAGTTCAAGAAGCAGTTTTCTAGAGGACCACTTAGCTCTTCCAGCCATTGGAGAGAGAGAAGGTGCTGCCGCCTTTTGAAGGAGTGGGAGAGAAGAGTCACTAGAGGGAAAAGTTGAACAAAGTCCACAGTGGAGAAAAAGGCCAACAAGAAAAAAATGTTTGGAGAGACAAAAATCAAAAGAACAGTAGTGTGTGTAAGGGGCTGGGATTTATAACCCTGCAAGGGAGGATATTCTTGCTGGCAATTATATAAATACTACTTCAAAGCAGGTAACAAAAACAATTTGATTCTGCTATCATGATGCTCTAGAAAATATTTCAGAGGTGGAACAGATCTGACAGATAATCATTTCAAAGGCCTACAGTAATCATACAGTAATCCTTACTGAGTATTTTGTTGTAACGTAAGATTATGTGTAATGTAAGATTATCTCTATCAATATTTTTGTTTCATTTTAATAGCAATTCTCTTGGTATTTAACATGGGGTCTTCACGCACATTAACAGGACATTGTATCATCATAAAATAGTATATCTACATTATCGAGCCACACAACAGTACAAACACTGGCACCAGAGTTCTGTTCTCTCGAAGGCATGATAAAATATATTTGGTGTTCAAAAAAGGTTTTTAAAAGATTCCAGTGTTTTTACAGTATGCTTTGTTTTCATTGACCACAATGTTATTGGATAAACCTCTGACCATTACAAGACACTTGGCTTAATTATCTAGACCTCTCTTCTACATTGCCTTTTACTAATGAACCCCATGATTTAGAAGGTAGCATCTGACATGTGACCTCTGAGAAACTTAAGACAGAGGCAATTGGTGTAGATAAAGGAACAGCATAATAGATTCATTATACCATACATAAGTTAAAGCACATTGAAAAAATAATTGGGGAAAGTTATATAGACTGAAGTCCTAAATTAGCTGTCATCACTTTAGAAAAAACTTGGGCCACTTAGTGAATACTAAATGAAAACATCTGAATAATACACAGAGTCTGGCCAGGGTCACAAACAGAATACAGCTGAGATGAAAATACTGATTGCAGGTTGTGATATAAATGGATGGAATGCCCTTAGCCTCTGTCTAATGCTGACTATCTGTTTCAGAAACAAAGAACGTACCAAAGATCCAAGTGAATGGGATTCTTTAGGGATGAGGGGAAAGTAATCTGATGTGCTATTTTAAACTACATACAATAGAATAATTGTCATCTTATGTGTTTTGATGAGCACAAAAACATAACACAGTGCATTTCAGAATGATTAATGGAACTATGATTTTTGATACTGTGTCTCTAATTGCCATTACTTTTCCTCTCCATTGTCTATATATGAGTTAAAAGTAATTAAAGTAGAAAAAAGCAACAGCTCTGGATCATCTGTCCCCTCATTCTATGGAATGAACGAGTTTTTAGTTTGTAGACATCACTGATGTTGGAAGTATCTCTGTGGAGTCTGCTTTGAGGCAGAAAGTAGTAGTAGAAGAAGAACTTTATTTTTCTACCCCACCTCCATCTCCCCGAAGGGACTTGGGGCATCTTAAATGGGGCCAGACCCAGGCAGAATACAATTAAAAACAGAACAATAGCAAATTTCAAATTAAAAATAGCATAAAACAGCATAATAGTAGTAAGTGGGTGGGCATATGCAGAAGGTCCCAGGTTCTTCAATTTAGGGGTAAAAACTTCCATCTCAGGGCAAAAAAAAAAAACACCCCTCATTGCCAATCACAATCACAATGATCCTTGAGTCCCAAGTTTTGAGAGAAATGTGAGATGTAAATCAAGGGAGGAGTGGAATATTTGTACATATAAGCAACAGCCAAAAATCAATTGGAGGACACCTCAGAAGCTGACTGATGATTTTGTTTGTCATCAAAGTTGTGGATACAGATCACAGGCTCACACTGCAGTTATGTCTACACAGTAAAGCAACCACTGGGTTTTTCTCCGTGGGAAAGGCCTATCTTTAAACATTATAACTGTAGCTAGCTACAATATGAAATCAGGAACAAAGAAATAAGAAAAGGTACATAGGCATCCACGATGTATCCAAATGAACAGGATTATAAGGGATTAAAAACATTAGATATGACTTACTTGTTGCATTGTAGGTGAATGTAAAGCAGACTGGACCTGCATTGGTAGCTGGTTCCCAATGGACTGCTGCATTGTAAGTGGCTGGTGTTGTTGTATACTGAGATGCGGGTGGATTGGAGGACTCATCTGAAGGGATGGAGGAGGAGACACAGCCATGTTGGCTATGGAAACAGTCACAGGCATTTGGTTGTTAGGCTTAGGTGCTATATTCCTAGGAATATTAGGATGTATGGCTGTTATGTGAGGATTCATTCCTGCTTGTTGGTGGTAATGGGAGCTTAGATACAGTGCTGAATGAGGCTGTGTAGATCCATGGAACACAGACTGCTTTGCATTCATCATCTGAGGTTGCTGGGATACCTTAACATCCACAGGTTCATTGTAACTCTGCCCAGAAAAGAAAAGGGGGAAAACACAACCAGATAACGCTTAGACACCGATATGTGTGGTTATCCTGACAGGCACAGTAATTGACTCAATATACTGGCTTGGCCTACTTTACCAATCATCAAAACCCCGAAGACACTTTAGTAGAAGCCTCTAATGTTCTTTTGTTATGTCTATAGAACAAAATGTATATCACCATCTACATGTACTTTCTTGGAGTTCATCACTTCCTTCTTTTGGATTTAGAACTGTATTCTTGTTTTGAAGGTGTTTAAAAAACACTCCATTTGATTAACACCAATATGAATTCTCACAACAAGATGAATATTAAACTATTTTTAAAAGAAAATAAAATGGATGTTTTTCGTATGCCTGCATATTTGTAGGTAGTCCCAACAAATAGTTGTATATGGCACTGAAAGGTAAGCTAGAAATTAGACGTTTGCCAGTTGTGGACATGTCTAGCAACTTACTTACTTGCATGCAGGCCTGTAGTGAGGGGGGGGGGATTAGGGGTTCAACCCCTCCCCCCGAAATGTTTCAGATTTTTTTAAAAAACTGGTTTACTCATGAATTTTATCTGGTTAACCAAATCCCCATGTGAAGTCTATGAGACGCAAAAAATTAAGAGTCCCTCCAGAACTGCAAGCATTATCTCAAGCAAATATTGACCATTTATTCACACTGTCATTACTTGCAGCAATAGCCAATGTAGTGAAGCAACCAAGTTGGGGGGGGGGGGAGGTGTTGAATGCTCTCATTAAGGAGGCCAGACTTGGTGGAGGTGGTTGACATGGGCGGAGCTGCAGGCTATTGAAGGCATCTCTGCTCCTTGCTGTGCTCTTTGCTTCAGCGTGAGCTAGGAGGCAGGTTTCAACCCCCCCTCAAATTTTCAACCCCCCCCCCAAATTTTCAAACCCCTCCCCAAAATTTTCAACCCCCCCCCCCAAATTTCAACCCTCCCCAAAAAAATTTTCTGGCTACAGCCCTGCTTGCATGGTATAACTGGGAGTAAAGATGGGGGACAAGCTAAGCCTCTTCTTCAAGGGGGGGGGGATGAGGGAAAACCCAGTTAAATTATTTCACTCTTAAAATATTGAGGGGGTTGAGGAACCCATCATTCCAGCACCTTACATTGATCCCAGAAACAGGCAAAAAGTGCAGTTCTTTAAAAATTGCTATCATATGGGCACACTTGACTGTACCAGTTTGAATTCAAGCAGCCAGATTCTCCATTCATTGAACTTTCTATATTTTAATCTTTTACTGAACGTATCTTTTAAATGTGTTTGAAGAAATTTAACTATTTTAAGCATGTTTTTAATTATGGAGATCTTTAATTGATTTTTAGCTGTTGTAGGCATTGTTTTAGTGGTATGTCAAAAATTATTATGAGTCATCTAGAATCCCATTTTGGGAGAAAGGTATGATATAAATGGCATAAACAAACAAACTTGAAAGCAATGTATAACAAATTTTAGTAACCTAACTTTTAGTGCTTAGATCAGTGACAGCTTCCTATGAGGTCATTCTCTTTGTCCCACTAGGAGTCCAGGGTATTCCTATATAGCTCTATCCCCAGATTATAGCAGTGACTTAGGAGCTGTAGTCATACAGTTAGGTCACTGCAAGGTCTCACAAACTAGCAGCAAGTTTACCAATTTACCAATTTCTAGGGCATTATGGCAACAGATATTTAAAACAAGAAAAAAATGCTAACATTTTTTTTTGTTAAATAGACAAACATTTTATTTGTTTTTAATAAACAATGGAAAAGTGATTTCACTAATAACTTTCATGTAACATTTACATTTTTGCTAATTTTCTCTCACACTCATTTCTCTCCTGGCTGACTTATAAACTAGATGTGCTCACATAAATTCAGCAAAGAGTAAGAGATTAACTCCCAAGGGCTTGCCAGTGGATATGTACCTGAATAATAATTCATCTCTTAGGGAGAAGTTGAATGAATAAACTAGTGAAAGGTGAAACATGCTGCAAAAAAAAAGAAGAAAGACAAAATGTTCCTTTGAAAGGAAACTGTACTATGTCAAAACAAGGGCTGGAAGATGCATGTATGCCCTTATTCTATAACCTCCATGTCACACTTGCTCCGTTTACAAGTCGAAATAAGTTTAACGTTACTCCAGGCACTTTGGGGTCACTGGAGCCTGTGAAGAACCATTTGTATTCCTTCTGATGTATGCACCATCACCACCAATCAGCCAATATGCACATTACAGAAATTGGTTCATTATGCACAGTGATCTACAGTAGAAAAGATAACTTCATCTACCCGAGTCAAGCTGTAGTAATGATGGCAACAAAAATGTATTTTCTCTGGTAAACTGAACAAAATTAAGTAGAAATGGTAAAGGGAGTTCAGTTCTCTTGTGCACAGGATATGTGTCCCAATCACTGGAAACAGTATCCTATTGTGCACACATTGAAAAATGACACTTGAAATGTTAACACAACAAGAGGTATATAAAATGTTTCTCTTTTCTATTATAGTGAAGTAAAAGAAAGTGATGGCAAATATGGTTTTCATGTTGTCTAAGAAAAGGAAATGCAACACAGTCGAGTGAGTGTCAAACTGTCTTAGACTTATGGCAACCCTATGTGTGAGAGACCTCCAAGAAACCATGTCATCAATAGTCCTCTCAAGCCTTGAAAACTCAGGGTTACAGTCTCCATGACTGAGTTCTCTTCTACACTACCATATAATCCAGATTATCAAAGCAGATTATCCACATTATCTGATTTGAACTGGATTATATGAGTCTACACTGCCATATAATCCAGTTCAAAGCAAATAATCTGGATTTTATATGGCAGTGTGGAAGGGACCTGAGTCTATTCATTTGTAATGTAGTCTTTATCTTTTCCTACTGTCTTTTACCGTATGAAACATTGTCATTGATAGGGAGTCATGTTGTCGTATGATGTGTTCAAAGTACAATTGCCTTGATTTGGCCATGTTGTCTTCTAGGGAGTACTCAGGACTGATTTGTTCTAGGATTCATTTATTGGTTATTTTGATAGTCCATGGTATCAGTGGAACTCCTCCAACACCATGTACCACATGAGCCGATTCTCTTGCTTTCAGTTTCTTTCATTGTCCTCCTTTCACAAATATTCATAGAAATCAGAAATACTGTAAGGCCCTATATCTTTGGGGCCAGTACCCACAGTTTTGTTTACCCACTATGGAAATATATGGTCTTTCTGGGCATTTTCTAAGACCTTCAGCATGGCTCTATGATATTATTGGGCCAGAAGTCCTTTATTTTAATTTAATTCATTGTTATCTGTTGTTATGTATATCCACACATAGTCCAAGAATGCCTCAAGGGTGCAGGGATTGCACTGTATATGGATGATCCTGACTTTGGGATTCAATTATGAGTTTATTTATACCCCCCCCCCCCCATAGCTGCCCTTCTAAGTCCTAGCCTTTTTCTTGACTACCATCTCTATTTTAATTTGTTACGCAGACAAGTTTTAATATTTTGATGCCAAAGGGCAAATGCCAGGGAAGAAATATAGTAATACACGTTATCTCACTAAAATTTAACTCTGACTAAAATTAAATGTGATTTATTCTTAAGTGTATACAACATTGCAGCCTGAGCACTCCAGGTATCCTAGTACTATACTTGGGAAGCAAAAAACTCTTGATACAAGCTATAATAAAATTCAATGTATCCCATTAGTTCAAACAAATACGTAACAGCTTGGGTTAGTATTTCCCTGCAGTGAGAAGGAGAAAAAAAAATCAAGAGCCAAATCTCTGAATTGCACCCCCTGCTCAATAAACCAGATTTCCCTAGTTTGGTGCACTCCAGATACCTTCAAATAATGCATAGCAATAGAGCAAAGTACGAGTTGGGGCATAAGGATATGGTCTAAGAGAACTAGAGCTGAGAACTGAAGAGGTGAGAAAGGTGGGACTTTGGCAGAGATGGAATGAAGATGTTGAATGAAATCCTTGTTAGCTTTTAGCAGCTTTAAAGACAAAGCTGAATTGACTCAGAAAGTGACAAGGGAAACTTTAGTTTAATGGAGAAGGTTTTCAAGTTGTGGATCATAAAATCCCATAATCTGGCTTTATTGATACCAGCAGGGCTCCCATTTTTTTTAACCAACAACAACAACAGAAGAAGAAGAACCTCAACAGAAACGTTTTCCCCCTGTTGTCACATAAAGTACCAAGCAAAGCTACACTGAGGTCGCTGAAGCCTTAAGAGTAGTTTTAAAAACACCCCCTTCATTGTGAGCTCTTCTGCTTTGTTTTTTGTTTTCCCACTGCAAGTCACTTCTGGTGTGAGAGAATCGGCCGTCTGCAATGATGTCGCCCAGGGGACACCCAGATGTTTTGATGTTTTGCCATCCTTGTGGGAGCTGGAGTTGACAGAGGGAGCTCATTTATGCTCTCTCCAGATTTGAACCTCCAACCTGTCAGTCTTCAGTCCTGCCAGCACAAGGGTTTAACCCATTGTGCCACTGGGGGCTGCTTAGCTCTTCCTCTATGACTCACCTACAACATTTCGAGTTTGGTAGTACCAGGCCAGGAAAGACCCTTTGGGGGCTAGAGCCAGTCTCTTTAAAAAAATATCACTTTTAAATTACATTTATGTTTATTGGTTTATTGTTATTTAACTTCTGTCTCATGTATTTTAATACGTGTATTAAAATATGGCCACTCTAAGTGCACTTGAGAAGGACGGGATGTAAATGATGTAAATGAATAAATAAAATACATGTATGTTTTAATATATGCTTTTATGGTTGCATTTTAAATATGTTTTAATATGTGATTTTACAGATGTATTTAACCAAAAGGAGAGGCAGGTAATAAGTTAAATAATAATTATTAGTATTATTGCTATTATATTACAGTATTTCAAGTGTGAGAAAGAAGCAGCTCTGAGCAGCATTACAGCTGGCACAACTATGGTCCCTTCCACACTACCCCTATACCCCAGGACCTAATCCCA